AGGTTATGCTGGGCCAGCAAAGAGGCCCCAGATCCGGTCCCCCTCCACATCCTGTTGATGGGCAATGTCCATTCACCCCACCCCCTTCTAAACCCTCCTTCCTCTCAAGTGCTCAGAACCAGCCCTCCATCTTCAGCCCAAACCTGGCACAGCCTGGGCTACTGACCCACTGGGCTCCCTTCCCCTACCTGTTGCCGCCAGGTGCCCAGGACCTCCCCATCTTCCCCCTCTTCCAGACTCCTCACCCTGCCCCCACCATGGCCGGGCACCGCCAGGGAAGGAGAGCCCCTGGCTGCGGGCTGGTCAGCACGTCCCAGGACGGGGAGGGACTTCCGCCCGCACGTCCCGCTCTCAGCCCCGGGCTGGAGTGGGTGAAAGGGGCATTGTCTCCCGGCGGCACAGCCCTCCGGTTTCCCAGGAGCGACCTTGTGGGTGGCCCCTAAGCAGTGGTCCCTCCGCCCTCGGCCGGGCCAGGCCGGGGGGAGAGCCGCTGGTGCACACAGGGCGGCGTGTCGGCCCCAGTGATCAGGTCTCTCGGCTGCCCGAGCTGCAGGGCAGCGTGACCTTCAGCGCAGATGCCTCCCCCGCAACCTTCCCTTCCCGGCCCCGCAGCTCAGCGCCAGGCCAGGCCCCCGGCCCAGACAGGCCCGGAGCCAGGGGACGCGGAGGGGAAGGGGGGCTGGGAGAGGGCCCCGCGGCGGGCGCAGGGGCCCCTCCCGGCCCTCTCCTCGGCTGTTCCTGTGTCACTACCGAAGAGCCTCGAGAAGTTCCTCAGCCCTCGCGCTCTCGCCTTTGAGAGAAAGGGGACGGGGTGGCCGCGTGCAGCCAGCAGCCGCCCCGGCTCCATCCAAGTCCCCATCCCACCGGCTCCCAGCCCTGCGGTTCCATCCGCGCTGCCACCTGGACGCCCTCGCCCCTGGGTGGACTCGGGCCTCACCAGGGCTCCGTCCCCGAGGCCGCCGTCTCCGCGCGCCCACAGGCACGTCCTCGGTTCCATCACCATCACCTCCTCCCGGGGGCCACGCTCGGTCCCCTCCCCCTCCGTCCCCAGCCCACACGCGCGAGGCGTGCACGTGCGAAGAACCCGGCGGGCCCAAAAGAAAAAGAGGGGCCCGGCTACTCGAGATTTTACGGGCGCACGTAGCTCAGGCCTCTGCGCCCTTGGGCTGGGACTGGGCGAGCGGCGGGAGGGGAGGCGGCTCGCGTCACCCCCGCCCCCGCCACGCCTGCTTCCTATAAATTGCGGCTGCAGCCTCCCCCGAGCGCTCTCTGCTCCCCTGTGCGTCAGACAGCCTCTCCTCCTCGCTGTGCCAGGTAAAGACAAGCCGGCGGGCGCCTCCAGGGCCGGGGACATTCCAAAGGGGCTGCGCGCGGGCCGGGGCGCAGCGGCGGGGTGGGGGCGCCCCGGGGTGCAGGGGGTGCGCCTCGGTGCGATGGCCGAGGGGGACGTGCCGAGGCGCAGGGAGAGGATGGTGGCTAGGGGAGGGGGAGGGGGAGACGGGAGGAGGGACCCGCTCGCGCCCGCGCCCTGATGCTCATCCTCCTTCCAGCAGCCACAACCCTGAGACACGATGGTGAAGGTCGGAGTGAACGGGTGAGTGAGGGCGCAGCAGGTCCTGCCCTGCCTGAGCCTCTGCAAGCGCTGGGGGACGTGGGGGATGGTCGGGCCCCCCCACCCCCAAGGAGAGCTCAAGGTCAGAGCTCGACCTCAGAGGACCTCTGTCCCCCACTTCCCATTGGTTGCACCACCTCCGCCCCAGATGAGCAGGAGAGCCCTCCGGTTTGGGCTTTGGACCATTTCCTTAGCCCCCTCGCTGGGGTTTCTTTCTCTCCTTTCGCGCCCTGTGGGGTCACGTGCTGGGAGGAAGCCCCCTCCCCCCTCCTTGGCCCCACCTGGCCGCGCAGCGGGGATGCAGCAGACGCAGCTCGCAGCCGGGCGGGCTCCTCTGCGGTCACCTCGCCGCCATGTTGCAACTGGGAAGGAAATGAATGAATCGCCGTTAGGAAACCTCCCTTACCTCCAGTCCTGCTCCCTCCCTGGCGATGACTAACCCTCCTGCCTCGGTGGGGTGGAGCCGCCTTTATTCGGTAAACCTGATGAGGCAAGGCTTTCCCGAGCTGCTCTCCAAAGAGCTGGACCTCAGCACTCGGTCCACATTCGCCCTAAACCATCCTTGACCTGCCCCCAGAGGTGCCCTTGGAGAGGGTGCTTGGCCCAGCTGATTCTCTGCGAATCAGAAACGTGGTTTGGGGGGCCTTTTGTGTCCCTTTTTCTCTTTTTCGGGGGAGGTGTGGTAGCTGTGGCTTAGAGCCATGCGAGGGCAGCTGAGTCATGGTAGCTAGAAATTTTCCGCCATAAAATGGCTCCTTGTAGCGCCAGCCCCTCTCCACACCAGCTCCCCTCCAAACTCCTCTCGCCCACGCCTGGAGCGCACACAACCCTAAGGACCAGGCTGTAAAGGTCACTGGGAGGATTGGGTGTCTGAGAGCCTTGGGAACCCTGCCCTTCTCCCCATTCCATCTTCCGGAAACCAGATCCGGACTACCCCAATCTGGGGTTAAATATAGCACCTGACCTTTCTGCGCTGGGGGCCTGGCTGCCGCTATCTCATCTCCTTCCCGGCATATACACATCTGTTGCTCCTCCTGCCTGATTTCTGCAAGAGCTAGGAAGGACAGGTAGCTTAGCAACTAGAACCCGGTTCTTAGGGGTTGAAACAGCTCCTCCCTTTTGTGGGAGGGGCTTAGAGAAGAGGTGGGCTTCCCCCCCATCCAGTTAACTTCCGACCTTTACTCTTGCCCTTTGAGCTTGGTGATGCTGAGTATACAGGTCTTTGCTCCATAGGGGTGTGGCCTGAAGCTGGACAGATAGGAGCGAGCATTGCCAGGGCGCAGAGAGTGGGGGTGATGAATGCATGTGCCAGCCTGTGGGTGGCAGTAGGAGGGCCCTGCACTGTTGCTCGCAAGATTTCATTGCCTGGCGGGGAGGGGGGTGTCCATGGGGGGAGGACATTTGTAAGACTTTAAACAATGAAGAGAAATAGAAATTAAAGATACTCTGAATGCTCAAAAACATTTATTTCAGAGGACTAGGGGTTGGGCAAGTTTGGGGGTCTAATCACCTCTTGGACAAGATAGAAAAGCCTTTACAGTGGGGCCTTGACTTACGAGTTTAAATGTGCAGGAGGCAGCTGATCGATGTTTCTCTCTCATCGATGTTTCTAACTCTCTATCTCTCTCCCTTCCTCTCTGTAAAAAAATCAATAAAATATATTAAAAACAAAAACAAAAACAAAAAAACCCAACAAAATCTGCTAATTATCTCCCCAGTGGGAGATGTGCAGGAGGCAGCTGATCGATGTTTCTAACTCTCTATCTCTCTCCCTTCCTCTCTGTAAAAAATCAATAAAATATATTAAAAAAAAAAAAAAGATACTCTGAACGCTCAAAAACATTTATTTCAGAGGACTAGGGGTTGGGCAAGTTTGGGGGCCTAATCACCTCTTGGACAAGATAGAAAAGCCTTTACAGTGGGGCCTTGACTTACGCGTTTAATTCGTTCCGAGACCGAGCTCGTTAAAGAGCTCATTAACTCAAATTACTCTGTCAACTCAATGCAAAAAATCGGAGGAGAGACAGCTGGTATCTCAAAAAATTCTTTAGTCGGGACACTCGTAAGTCAAGGCCCCACTGTAATTTGAGTTAGTACTATCTTCCTTTTGAAAGAGGACAAGTGGGCCACGGGCGACTCACACACTGGAGAATTCTCCGCTCCCTCCTCCTCATGCCTTCTCACCTCTTCATCCCTCAGATTTGGCCGCATTGGGCGCCTGGTCACCAGGGCTGCTTTTAACTCTGGCAAAGTGGATATTGTCGCCATCAATGACCCCTTCATTGACCTCAACTACATGGTGAGTGTTGCCTGTACGGCTGGGGTGGGAAGCAGAGGCTGATGGATGTGCAGCCCCTTGAAGCCTGTGCTTGCCCCTCCAGGTCTACATGTTCCAGTATGACTCTACTCACGGCAAGTTCAAGGGCACAGTCAAGGCTGAGAACGGGAAGCTGGTCATCAACGGGAAGTCCATCTCCATCTTCCAGGAGTGAGTGTGGAAGAACAGTAATAAGTTTGCTTCGGGGGAGGTGCTAGGATGGGGTGACCACCTTGGGTACATGGTACTCATGTCCCTGAGCTTTGTCCCATCTGCCCTTGTAGGCGAGATCCCGCCAACATCAAATGGGGTGATGCTGGTGCCGAGTATGTTGTGGAGTCCACCGGTGTCTTCACTACCATGGAGAAGGCTGGGGTGAGTGGCAGGGAGGCTACAGATGGAGTTGGCATCATAAGAAGACCGGGGGGGGGGGGTGCTGTCTTAGACCGAGAAAGGTACAGTGGGAAGCAGAGTCTGCTGGATATGCAGCCCCTTGTAACGCCTCCTCTGCTGCAGGCTCACTTGAAGGGTGGAGCCAAGAGGGTCATCATCTCTGCCCCTTCTGCGGATGCCCCCATGTTTGTGATGGGTGTGAACCATGACAAGTATGACAACTCCCTCAAGATTGTCAGGTGAGCATGGCAGAAGGGCGTGGAGACGTGGTTGGGTAGTGAATGCTGCGGTTAGAGGAGGGTCACCTTTGCCCCTGACTGGCCTGCCTCTTTTCAGCAATGCCTCCTGCACCACCAACTGCTTGGCCCCCCTGGCCAAGGTCATCCATGACAACTTTGGCATCGTGGAGGGACTCATGGTAAGTGAGGGAGAAAGGGACCTCAGCACGTTCATTTCTCACCCAGGATTGGTTCCTTCTTCCTCCTCCAACACAGCCCTGGGCTGGACATTAGCTCGGGTCACTGTATCTCTTTATTTCTCCTAAAGTTGAGGAGGGAGGTAGAAGGGTGGGTGGTGAGCACTATGCAGGGCCCTCACTCTGTCCTCCATGTTTCCAGACCACAGTCCACGCCATCACCGCCACCCAGAAGACCGTGGATGGCCCCTCTGGGAAGCTGTGGCGTGATGGCCGAGGGGCTGCCCAGAACATCATCCCTGCTTCGACTGGCGCTGCCAAGGCTGTGGGCAAGGTCATCCCTGAGCTGAATGGGTGAGGCTTTTTGCTGCTTTTCTGGACTGGAGTCTGGGGGAACCAGAAGCTGGTACTGACCCACGTCCCTGTGCCTACAGGAAGCTCACCGGCATGGCCTTCCGTGTCCCCACCCCCAATGTGTCGGTGGTGGATCTGACCTGCCGCCTGGAGAAAGCTGTAAGTGTGGGTTGGAGCAGCTTTGGGCTGGGGGCTGGTCTCCGGTAGAATGGTGGCGATGTTGGAACCTTAATAACCATATCGTTTTTTCACCTTGTTAGGCCAAATACGATGATATCAAGAAGGTAGTGAAGCAGGCATCAGAGGGCCCCCTCAAGGGCATCCTGGGCTACACTGAGGACCAGGTACTGATGGGGCAGGGAGCTTGGGGTCCACAGCCCCGCTGACCAAGACTGGGTTCCCATACGCGGCCTTCTTCCCTCAGGTGGTCTCCTGCGACTTTAACAGTGACACCCACTCCTCCACCTTTGATGCTGGGGCTGGCATCGCCCTCAATGACCACTTTGTCAAGCTTGTTTCCTGGTATGTGGCTGGGGGCGGGACAATGCTCGAAAAACCTGACTATGGGTCTGGCGCCCTCTAGTGCCTGGCTCGGAAAAATAACACCTCACCCTCCTCCCCTTCCAGGTATGACAATGAATTCGGCTACAGCAACAGGGTGGTGGACCTTATGGTCCACATGGCCTCCAAGGAGTAAGAGTCCCCTGGACCACCAGCCCCAGCGAGAGGAAGAGAGGCCCTCCGCTGGTGGGGAGTCCCTGCCCCAGATCGAACCCCTGACACACTGAGAATCTCCTGACCACACACTGAGAATCTCCTGACCACCGTTTCCATCCCAGACCCCCTGGAGAAGGGGAGGGGCCTAGGGAGCCCTGCTTTGCCGTGCACCATCAATAAAGTTCACTGTACCCAGCCATCTCTTTGCATATTTATCTTATTTCAGGGTCTAGGGTGAAGGGGAAGGAAACGGGGCTGGTACTCAGGTGAAACAGCTCTTGTTGAGAGTAGCAAAGGGCCTTGCTCACCCCAACCAGGCACAGCCTCGGTGGTGGACTGAGCTGGTGTGACCGAAGCATCCCTCTGTGCTGGGGAGGGACATCTATTGGCGTCGCTGGGAAGGGACATCTATTCTCTCTGGCTGTTTCCCCTCCAAGGCTTCGAGGACCAGACCTTTTCCTCGCCATACCCCAGCCCGATCTGTTAGAACCTCACCTGATACACAGTAAGGACCCTTGACTAAATCGGGGAAGTGTGGTGAGGCACGTGGGACACAGTGCCTGCCACCTGGGAGACCCTGGTTGGCCACGTGAGGCTTACTTAGGGCAAGTTACTTAGAATAATAACCATCAGGTGCCTCTGCACCTGCTGTTGATGAAATGGCGATGAAACTAGCACATACCTCCCAGGATTGTGCAGCTACCACCAGAAAGGATTCAATCAGTGACGCCAGGCATTCAATAAATACTCCAGTTTCATTCTTAATAAAGATTCCATTCACATGTCAGCTCGGCACAGCTCCCGGCAGTTAGCTAAGGCCTCAATCCCGTCTCCCCAGTTTCTCCGAGGTTTTCCAAGGGCGGACATCTTCCTCGGCCTGTCGGTCTCTATGTGACAGACACGGAGGAGGCACATCCGCTGAGCCTGGACACCAAGACCCTGAGCACGCACACACCTGTGCACACACACACATCTGTAGCTTCACCTTTCTGTCACTCAGCAGTGACTGGGAGACAAGAGCTTCCAATCTCCATGATACTGCACCCAGTCGGACCCAGAAGCCACTACGCAAGGGGCACAGAGACTCCTTCAAAATGGCATTTCCATGAGGGAGGGGTCATGCCACGTCCTTACCGTCCACAGGCAGGTGACCGGAGCACTTGGACAACAGAGGGAGGACTTCACGCCCTGTCCTGCCACACGGAGGGACCCCTCTCCCACTGCCGGTGTTGCACACGCCCGGGACGTCCAGCCTGACCCACTCGTACCAGTGCCTGGGCCAGTTAGCACCAGGACAGAATCAGACGTGAGCTGGCGCTAGGCCACGGGGGTGGGGGGATCTGACTATCACATTCCTTATTCAATGGAGAAGCTGCGGGGCCACAGTCGCACTGGCAGCATTTTAAAGATGGGGAGGAGCAGGCGCCCACGCATGAGGTCAGGAGAGCCCCAGCTGTGGCAGGAGTCGCCTGGGAAGGGCAGGCCAAGCCTTGCTCCAGACCCTAGAACCTGGAGAGGCCCCGGACCGAGGGAGGAAGCCCGAGGGAGGAGCGGCCCTGTCCCGGGGCCAGGCTTGGTGCAGCCGGGACAAAGGAAGTTCCCTTCTGCGAACCCCGACTCTGCGAGGAGATGCGAGGAGGTGCGTTCCCATGGGGGGACCAGAGGCAGGTCCCTATCTCAGGGAGCTATCAGATGAGACATCTCGATCGGAGTCCTCAGTCTCGCTAGGCGGCGGCGGCGGGTCGCTAAGCGGGACCGCAGGGAAAGCAGGAGACTTTCTAGAAAAGAACACCAGTTGTCACCTTGGGGCAGGCAGGACCCTGGTGAGGCTGGCACTCCCCCCCTCGGCCTCGTTCTCTGGTGAATGAATGGCACCTCGGCCAGGGCAGGAGGACCACGGAGAGAGGGTGGGTGCCGGCCTCGTTCTCTGGTGAATGGCATCTCGCCAGGGCGGGAGGACCACGGAGAGAGGGTGGGTGCCGGCCTCGTTCTCTGGTGAATGAATGGCATCTCGGCCAGGGCGGGAGGACCACAGAGAGAGGGTGGGTGCCGGGCGAGGGAGTGGGGAGGGGACCGATGGGGGAGTCGTCCCTTCTTTATCTTAAGGACTTGGGGAGGCTCAGGGTTCAGAAATACTTGAAATAAAAGATGCCACCTGGGCCGAGTGCACTGACTGGGTGGCCTCCGCTTTCTGTCTGTCTGTAGAACTTTCATGACTTTTTTTCTTTTTTGTTGCGGTGTTACTGACATGGTCAAATGCACAAAGATGGCCTTGACTCTCGGTAAAAATCTACCTCGCACCCCTTCTGTTCCTGGTCAGTTTTTAGCTGCCTCTCACCAGGGAACCATCAGAGTGGGCGGCACTGGGAGGTTTCCGCTGCCCAGCCACGAACGGACATCCACTGGGCCACATACCCGGTGACCTCCACTGAGCGCCCAGGGCCAGATGTGAGTCACTGTGAGGGTCTTTAGGGCTTGCCCGCCAAGGGGCTCCGTCCACGCGTCCTCCCGGCATGGGCCCTCGGAGGAAGCATGAGGAAGGTGGGAGCGCCCTACGCTCTGGGGGAGGCCCTCACCGGTCCCCAGACTGGGTGATGAGCCGGCGGCAGGTCTCCATCTGCACGTCCAGGCCCCGCTTCATGCTGCACATCTCCATGTACTCATGCAGGTGCCGGTTCATGTCGTTCTTGGCCGTGGCGAGCTCCAGCTGTGGCCGGGACAGGCAGGGACAGGCGGGGCCGTCAGGGCAGCAGGGACCCTGCTCCCAACCCCCAGGAGGCAAACGCGCCAAGAGCACCAGGGGGCAGGGGGTCCAGGCAGCTTAGCTGAGGGCTCAGATTTAAAAATAAATCAGCCCTGGACGGTTTGGCTCAGTGGGTAGAGCGTCAGCCTGCGAACTGAAAGGTCCCTGGGTCAATTCCAGTCAAGGACACATGCCCGGGTTGTGGGCTCGATCCCCAGTGGGGGACTCGCGGGAGGCAGCCAATCAGTGATGCTCTCTCATCATGGATGTTTCTCTCTCTCTCTCCCCCTCTTCCTTCCTCTCTGAAATCAATAAAATATTTAAAAATATAAATAAATCAGACCCAGCCAACATGGCTCAGTGGTTGAGCATCGACCTATGAATCAGGAAGTCACGGTTCCATTCCCGGGTTGCAGGCTCAATCCCTGGTGGGGGGCATGCAAGAGGCAGCCGATCAATGATTCTCTCTCATCATTGATGATTCTATCTCTCCCTCTCCCTTCTCTGAAATCAATAAAAATATATTTTAAAATAAAAATAAATTTGATCAAGGCGGAAGGCACTCAATATGCTGTTGTTCCTTCTAGTTTTCCAGGCAGTCTTTGCCTACAGAGGAATGCGAAGGCATCTGCCCCAGGCTGCACTCTCCCCAGGCTGGCGGGAGCCTGAGGACAGAATGTTCACCCGGCAAGAGGGAGAGGAGGGAAGTTCCTGGGGGGAAGGGGGGGGCGCACTGTCTGTAGGTGGCCTTACTCTCCGCCTGGGGTTCCTGCATGGCCTGGCTCATCCCTCACTCCCCACAACGCTGTCTGTGTCCCTCACTAAATCGGGAACTCCTGTAAGGGCCGGGCCACAGCCTTCCTCATCTCCTCAGGTGCATGGCAGGTGCCTGGATGGGAAATGAATTAACTGTGAAGTATCTACAAGACTCCTGCATAGAGGACACCTGTCCGCACTGGTGAAAAGGGCTCAATTCTCTTACCATCCATTTTCTCATTATTTTCTATTTATTTATTTACTTTTATCCTCCCCTGAGATTTTTATTTTATTTTACTTATTGATTTGAGAGAGAGAGAGAGATCCAGTTGTTGTTGTTACTTGTGCACTCACTGGCTGATTTCTGTATGTGCCCTGACCAGGGATCAAACCTGCAACCTTAGGGTATTGGGACATGGCTCTAACCAACTGAGCCACCAGCCAGGGCCATTTTTACTTTATTTTCTCACTTGTAAGCCATTTCAGGGACTAACAGAAAGACCTGCTGCCAATACTGAATGTCCTACTGGTATAAAATGTATCCCAATGGAAGAAATGTTACATGTGAAAAAGCGTGGGGCTCCGAGTCCAGGAAATACGGCCTCCCTCCCAGAGCCCAGAGCCCAGAGCCCGATTCTGCGCCACAGGCAGAGCTGAGAGGTGGTGCAGAGGCGTAAGAGATCTGGGCCAGAGACAATCAGCTGCCTCTCTTTGTTTGGGGTACAAAGGGCAGGGCCTGAAGCAAGGCAGAAAGAAACTGCCTGGAGGTCATTTGCTTGACTGCCTGAGAGCAAAGAGAAAGGGCAGGAACGCAGCCGTGAATAATGTGACCAGGCAGAGGAAACCACCCATAACTAATCTGAGCTGGACAGAGGGCGGGAACTCGAAGAAGAAGTAAGTGGGTCACAGGCCGACGCAAGAGATGGTCAGGACGGTGACCTGGATGAGAGGGTGGCCTGGTGGGTGTGGCTGGAGCCGCCTTGGTTCCAGAGTTGGGGTTCCAGCTGGGGTCCCGCGAGCCAGAGGAGCAGGGCGTGCCGCCTGCTCCAGCCAGGGAGGGGTAGGATCCGCCCGCTCTCTTCAGGGCGTGGGCAAAAGCAGGTTTACAGTCATTCTATGGAAGGTAATACAGTAACAAGACAAGGATACACTGTTTCTCGTACTCACAACTGTAAACCCACTTTTGCCCACCTGTATATTGTATCACCAATATACATTCTATCACAATACAAGGCTAGGACTGCCACCTGTTGTCTCTACATGTTTGCATGTCCCCCGTAATTCACACAATTCAAACAGAGATGAGCCCAGTTTAGGAGAAATCCACAACAACCCACGCTGAGACTACGGCTCCTGGGAAAGCCGAGGGGTGGGCTAAGGCTGGGAACACGTGGAGAGAAGGAAGGAGGTGAGGGAGCAAGAACTCTTTCCCACCCTCCACCCTGGGCCCCGGCTTGACCATCCAATAATGGGACCTGCCTCCATCTCACGGACCCTGAGAGATCAAAGGTCACAGATAAAGGGACCTGGGGTGGCCCAGATGGATCACCAGGAGCAACACTGCAAACAAAGCCACCATTCCCTGACTCCCTGACATTCCTAACATCCCCTGATGGCATCCCACTGGGAGAGCGGAGGAATCGGTGACTCAACAACATCTTCAAAAGCATGTTTCCATTTAGGGTTTTCGTTTCCTTCTTTTCACATCAGGTTATAACTAAGCCCCTCTGGCCCAGGAGAAGAAGCAGGCAGGACGCAGCCCGGCCCAGGCTCCGAGGCCCCTGCTGGTGAAGGTGCAGTGAGAACATCACACCTTAAACCCACACTCACCAGGGGGAGGGAGAGCAGGGGAGGGAGTCAGGCAGAGAAGGAGGAGGCGACAGTGAGAGTGTAAAGGGGAAAGTGAGGGCCAGTTCTCCTCGCATCCCCTCGGCTGGCAGCATAAGCCCCGCTGTGCCTGTGAACCTTAGCACGGCCCTGCCAGCCGGCCGGGGCCTCAGGTGGTTGTGCTGGTCAGGGTGCATACGAGAGGCAACCGATCGACGTTTCTCTCTCACATCAATGTCTCTCTCTCTCCCCCTTCTCTCTCTCAAATCATCACGTGAGGCTTAAAAAGAAACTAAAAACACTTAGCAGCCCTAGCCGGAGCATCAGCCTGTGGACTCAAGGGTCCCAGGTTCGATTCTGGTCAAGGGTACCTGCCCGGGTTGCGGGCTCGGTCCCAAGAAGGGGGACCCCAATGAGGTACTCAGCCTGCGTCTTCCTTTTCATATATTGTGGGTTCTATCTCTATCTTCCCTCCCTTCCTCTCTGAAATCAATAAAAATATATTTAAAAACAAAAACTAAAAACACTTTAGCATTTTGTCTGCCTGGGCAAAAAACAAAAGCAGGTTTCGCTTAGAGGAGCAGGACCATTTGGCGTGAGGTGGTAAGAGCGTCAACATGCCACATGGGCTTGAAGAGGAAGAGAATTACGGAAGTCCGCCGGCCTCATCCCCGGCCTCACCCCCACGTCAGAGTCCGCCGGCCTCATCCCCGGCCTCACCCCCACGTCGGGTGCTCAGAAAGGACCCCTCACCCGGGCAGGAGGCTCACAGGCATCACCTCAGCCTCCGCTCCCCACAATCCCCTCCCTCCCAGGTGCCCCAAGTCCTTCCTGGAGCCCCTCCCGGCCTGGAGTGTAGGTGAAAGCACCAGCTCCCCTGCCACCTCTAGAAGGCTCCTCAGGCCGGGGAGCACGAATAGAGATCCCTCCTTTAGCTCAAAGGCTGAGCTGAAGAAGCGGCCAAGTCAAGCCCACCTGAGTGGGTTCCCCTGACCAATACTACCTACCACAGGGCGTGCTTCCTAGCAGAGCGACACTGCCCTGCGCTCCAAGGTGTGTTATTTCATTTCGTCTTCGAGCAACCCTATGAGGGGGTATTATTAAGATTCCTATCCTATCTAATAAAGAGGGGATATGCTAATTGACCCTCATGCTGTCCCAAAGATGGCGGCACCCACAGCCAATAAGGAGGGAATATGCTAATTGACTGTCACACCCTCAAAGATGGCAGTGCCCAGTCCTCACAGCCCCGCCAGGGTGGCATGCACATGCCTGCCTCCTGAGTCCCCCAGTCCTCTCAGCCCCCCAGCCGCCCAGGGCCAGCTCGAGGCACAGGCAACTAGGGCCGGCCGAGGCTTGCGCTGCCGGCAGTGGCAGCAGCAGAGGTGTGATGGGGCATTGCCTCCCCCTGATTGCCTCCCGCCCCTGAGGGCTCCCAGACTGTGAGGGGGGGCAGGCCGGGCTGAGGGACCCCCCCCTCCAGTGCATGAATTTTCATGCACCGGGCCTCTAGTTTTACAAATACAGAAACGGCTTAGAGAGACTAAGAAGGCTGTTGAAAGTTGGAGTAGTAACAAGTGAGAGAGCTGAGACTTGAACCCATCTGTCTGCCTCCCTCCTGAGGTCTTAAGTACCCACCAAAGGTTCAACAGCTGGGCGCTCACACCTCCCCCCAAAGGAAAGGGAGGCCTGGTGTCTGGGTTCGCAGGATGGGACCCCGCTACCTGCAGCCCCGCCCACACCCATGAGGAACCTGCGCTGCTCGGCCTCCACTCGCATCCTTACCTCTATCTGGTCAATGGTTTCCTGATACTCTTTCTCCCGGGTTTTGAACAGGGACTCGGTATCTTTAATCACCTTCTCCAAACTGTCTTCCTGTTGCTGGAGAAGCAAGGGAAGCAAGGGTGGGGGGGGAGCAAAGGGAAGGGATGGGACCGGGCGGGAGGGGGTTTCATTTCACAGGGCCAAGGAGGGGGAGAGAGAGAAAGTCAGGTTAAAGGAAACCGACAGTCGTGAAAAAAGGAAAAGGGTCAAGAAGAAGGGGAGAAGCAGGTGAAGGATGATGGCCACAGAGGGGAAGCAGAGCGAGGAGAGGCGGGAGGCAGGGAGGGAGGGGAGATGGCAGTGAGCTGCAGGGGCGGGACTGGGGGGCCCTGAGGCCGGGAGGGGAGGTTACCTCTCCCTGGGCCTCTGCCGCTGCCATGGCATAGCCTGAGAAATCCTCCCACAGCAGCAGGGTCTCCTCAGTCTCCTCCCAAGTCAGGCTGTCACAGTCGTCCTCAAAATCATACTCCCTCCTAGAGACAGGGAGCCCGCGTGTCAGGGGGGGCTCCGGCCTCGGGCTGGGGGGCTGGGGGGCTGGGGGCCTGCGGGACTCACAGCTGGTTGAGCATGCGCTGCATCTCCTCGTTGATGCTGAGGGCTGTGCTCTCCTCCTCATCCCCCTGGGGCTGGCGGGGCCCGTCACTCTCCGACAGGGAGGGGTCCTCCTCGGTGGCAGCCTTGCGCTCCCGCTTCCGCCCCCCCATGGATGGGACCTTAATGGGAGACAAGTGCAGAGACTACAGAGCCGAGGCCGGGTGCATGAGGGGAAAGGGCAGCGGGAGGAGAAGCGGGACCAGCGGGGGGAGGGGGGGGAGCGGACAGAGAGAGAGAAGACACAGTTACAACGACAGGAACAGGGCACCAGTCACCAAGGGACAGGCACACAGACACGACGGGCACAGGGCTGCGACCGAGGGAGAAACAGGAAACGCGGAAAACAGCGGTGAGGGGAGGGGGACAGGGCTTGTTGTGACCACGTGAGGATGTGCACAATGGCTAATGAGGATTTTTTTCCTAAAAAAAAGGTCTTTCTAATGAAATGACTGAACAAAAAAAGCAAGTTGTAGGTTGCAAGGAGGAGGATACAGTGTTCACAAAGGAGAACCTAAGCCGCATATCCAGATCTGGAAGCCGGAAGAAGGGAGAGAGAGAGAGAGAGAGAGAGAGAGAGAGAGAGAGAGAGAGAGGAGGCAGAGAGGAAAAGAGAGAAAAGGGGGGGAGGGCGGGGACACTGAAAGGGGAGGAGTCTGCGCGGAGAAGCCCAGCAGGTCAGGACCGATGGCCAAGGCCTGGGTGGTTTAGAAACAGGGACTGGGACGTTAATAAGCTGCGTGAGAGCAAAACTAACCAGTTTCTTCTGTGGGGAAAGCCAGAGAAGATGAGAGGAAGAGAGAGGAGAGGAGGCAGACAGAGGAGAGAGGGGAGAGACGGGTTAGAGACAGCTTCCAAAGGCTGCTCCTGGCCCCCCAGTCAGTCCCCTGGGGGCCCCTGGGTGCCAGGATGCGTCCCCCGAGGAGGAGGATGGGCAGCAATGAGGGAAGGCTCTTGGCTGCCCAACCCTCCCCTGAGGCCCCCGGGTGGGCACGGAGGTGTGGGTGGGGCCGGGCGGAGGCCTGCCCTCGGCCCTCACCTGGAACATCTGGATCATGTCCTCACAGTTGCGCTGCTGAGCCACATCGCAGAGCTTGGCGGTGATGTCGATGCGGCGGCAGATGTCCATGTCTACCTTCATGGCCTTCTCCTGGATCTTCGTGTCCAGCTCAGTCAGGTTCTGTCCAGGGAACGCGGGGAACGGTGAGGAGGCAACCCGCACGCCACACAAGGGCCAATGGGCCCCTGGCAAGATCCTCCTCATCCGTCTGGTCACACGTCACCACACGTCACCACCGCCTCCCGCACGAAGCCATCGCCAACTCCTCCAGCAGCACGCGTCCCTCTGGGTGCCCTCCACACACACTCGGCCCAGGCACTGACTTCTGCAACTGGCTCCCTGCCGGATGGGGAGCCCCTGGAGGGCGTGGCCCAGAGCCTGGGACATGTGGGGGGGTCCCTCTTGGCACTTATGTTCCCAGAGAGAAAGAGACTACTGGGCGTTAGGAGAGTGGAGAGCCAGTGCATAAGGATAACAACAGCTAACACTTATTTGGCGCCAAGTATGTGCTAGCCCTGTCCTCAGCGTTATGTCATCCTCGTTCTGCAAAGCACACGCCTTTATTTCCCCTCCAGTGAGGAGGGAGGCAGGGTGGCTGAGGAATTCGCCTGCGGCCACACTGCTGGCGAGGGGCAGTGCTGGGGGCCCTGCTCTTAACTTCCTGCAGAACAAGCTCGGTGACGGTGACGGAGGCGTGCTGCCTCTCCAACACAGGGGCTGTGTTCCTTCTTTTTCTCCCGGGTGGCAAAGGAAAAAAAAACAGAAGCAGAGCAAAGTGGGGGGAGGGGTGGTGGAGCGGAAACCAACAGGCCACACCTAGCAGGGCTGCTGGCCTGGCTTCGGCAGCCTGGTTGGGCCGCCTGGTGATAAGCCCGCCGGGGAAGAGTGTGAGGGGTGTGCTGGCTGCACTCACGTTGCTCATAAGCCCTTTGAAGACCACTAGCTCAGCTTTCAACTGCTGCACCTTCAGCGCCAGCTCCTCCTGGCAGGCGTCAGCCTCCTGGGCTTCCTACGGCCAACAGAAACCCTGGCGTCAGTGGGACTGCCAGTGTGGGAGGAAGGTCAAGACAAGGAAGGAGGGACCAGGAGCGGCTCCAGGACCGAGGGGCACAGGGGGGGACTGAGGGAGGCCCAGGCGGTGGGGCGCCCTCACCTCCTGGAGCTCATGCACTCGCTCTTGCAGCTGCATCCGCACCGTGTACTCCTCTTCCCACCTGGCAGACAGGGAAGAAGGCAAGAGCATAGGGGCGGAGTCCCTCCCTGCCCCTAGCTCCCTGCTCCCCACGTGTCTGGCTCAGGCCTCAGCCCTTGGGTCTGGTTCCCTAGATGAGGAGGAGCTGTGGACAGGAATGCCTGGCGGGCCGGGCGGTGGCCGGCTGCAGCTGTTGGGCGGCTCCACGCTTCCTGGCCAAAGCCGAGTGCACCAGCTGCCTTCCCGGCACCTCCAGGCCACACACCAGTGATTATATCTAAGAGCAACTGCAGTTGCTCTGGTCCTTCACACGCCCGTCCCATTCAGGCCCCGGCCCAATCAGCTGTCCGCTGGCCTCATCCCCCACGTCCTGCCCAGACCAGACCACAGGCCCACCCGGCCCAGTCTCCCACCTTCAGCGGCACAGATCCGGTCTCCCGCCTCCTGCCTGCACCAGAACAGAGCTCCTCTAGCCTGCTGCCCTGCCTCGCACGGGACCATTTAACCCTGTAAAAGCAGCTGCAGGACACACACCGCGTCAACAGAGGAGACACTCGGTCCATCCCCGCACGCCCGAGAAACTGCCCACCCAGTCCCACCCCCCGCTAAGTGAGCTGGAGGGAGGTGACAGTGGAAAGCAGGAGACTGGGGCTACTAAGCACCCAAACCCAGAGGGAAGGGAACCTGGAGTACAAAAGTGTCTCGTGAGTTAGTGGGTGATACCACAGGTGGCATCTCCTGGGGCGCAGGATGCGGAGACTCAGACCACCAGAGGCGACAAACACTCTCGCCACAGGCAGGGTCTCTGTCCGGGACCAGGCTTCTCACACAGGGTGGTCCCCGGGAAGCCAGCGCCTGGTCCGCTACATCACTGAGACGGAAGGCTGGCGGTGGGGGCAACACCGCACCCTACGAGGCTGGCTGGAATAGCGAGGCTTCTCGGACCCCACTCACATAGCCTATCCCTTCTTGCCGCGTTCTTTAATATATTTTTATTGATTTCAAAGAGGAAGGGAGAGGGAGAGAGAGAGAGAAACATCAATGATGAGAGGGAATCATTGATTGGCTGCCTCCTGCACCCCCCCCCTCCCCCACCAGGGACTGAGCCCGCAATCCCGGCATGTGCCCTTGACCAGAATAGAACCCAGGACCCTTCAGTCCTCAGGTCGATACTCTGTCCACTGAGCCAAACCGGCTAGGGCCTTGCCACATTCTGGGAAGACTTCTTCCAGTCTGAGAAAGGAGGGGAACTGCACCGACAGAAACTTCAGTATAAGAAAGGTGGTTAGGGAGTAGCAAAGGGGACAGTAAGAAAATGAAAACCAGAGAGAACGTATTCTGTAGCCACGGGATTCAATCCTTCCTTCCCCTCCCACCTTTTTCCCATCTCCCTGTCACACTGTTCCCCGGCTCCCCATCCAGTCGCGCCTGGCTCTCATGTTCCGCACTCACATCCGCACTGCAGTATTCCCAAGAATAACTTCTACATCACCAAGGCTGCCCCTCCCAGCTGGGCAGGGAGAAGGCAGCCAGCCCGGCCACCACCCTGCTGGCTCAGCGAGCAGCCCACAGAGCACAGCCTTTTTGGTTCCCTGCTGCCCAAGTCCTTCCCCTTATATATTGTCTTATACAAGATCCTTATCTTTCCTGGCCTTGTTTTCTTCATCTATAACATAAAGGCTTGGGAAGTGGTCCCCTTGGGCCCCTGGAGTCCATGAGTCCCTGGAGGAAGAAGGCAAGACTGACAAAGAGACATTAACCCTGGACACCATGCATCAGGAAGGGGGGGAAGCATTGTTTGATAGCGAATTCAACAAATTCAGGTGGAAACTTAAGTAAGGAAGTTATGTAAGGATTAGGGTTAATAAAATCGTACAGGGTAAAAAAAAAAAAAAAAAAAAAGAGATCGTGGAAGCTCACTAGAATTCTATTTACACTCCAGTCAGACTTTTCCACAAATAGGTTCATTTTGACCTCCGTTCAAACCTGTCCTAAGGACGTTCCCTTAATATGTAGGATTTGAGCAATTTCTGTGTGTTCTGTTTACCAACCACCTCTCTCCAGATAAACGGTATCCCTGAGTCAAGCGAGGAAGCGGGGGCCATTCCTGTCAGGGAAAACTGAGGCCAGGAAAGAGAACCACCCCCCTCCCCACCCCCCCACCCCCCAAGGTCACACAAGGAAGGGGAACTGAAAGTAGAGCCCAGGAGGCTCCAGCTCCCTCCCAGTTCAATGTTCAAGCTCTGGCCAGGCCTTGCGGGCTACAGACAGGAGCTACAGTGTTGCTATAAAGAGAACAGAATGAGGGCAGGGGATCTGGGGGGGAAGGATGAGTAACTGGCAGTGTCAGTACCATACAGCTAAGCTGCGGGGCCCTCTGCACAGCAGCCTGCTGCAGAGTGATGAGCTCATCAGTCCCCAAGGAATAACGCTTTGCTGCCTGGACAGCTGGACCAAGGACAGACACTCTTCCAGTTAAAAAAAAAACGGCCCTAAGAACAGCAGTTGTTCCTGTGGTTGTAGATGGATTCCAGAACTGTCCGTGTTGCACTGCTCACTGTGTTAATGAACTCCGGCTGGGGCTGCAGCAAGGGCAGGCTGGGTCTGGGTGGCATCTGAATGATGACTTTAGGATAACCAGGATTCCTAAAGACACTCATAACATGGCCCACAACTAAGGATGCCAGTATGAGGACAAAACTCGGCCTCAGAAAGCATGATGATCTGTCATCGGCTAGACTCCGGCAGGTTACAGATGCCTGCAGGCCGTCCCTGGGTAACTTCCCAGAACATTCAGCCAATCCCCACCAGACAAATCTCTGCTACTCAGCTGCAAGGGTAGTTCCCGGGCCTGCCCACTAGGGGTCAGAGTAGCTAATTAGGAGGTTACACCTGAAGGCCCCCAAACCAAAGTCAGTCACCTTCCTCCTTGACCATGGCATCAGGCTGGCTGCCCTGGTGCTCCTGTCCCAACAGCCTTCTAAGGCAGCCACTTGGCACACAGCCAGCGCTCTAGCATGGCATCCCTTCACCTGGCCTTTTGTGCTAACCTGCCAGGTTCCCCGCAAAAAGCCAAATCTTCATCCTCAGAAGGTACCGAACCTGCCCCCAGCTGCCGTATATTCACAGGGAGTGTATTCACAGGGAGTGTCCGCGTTCCCAACTTTCTCCTCCCGGCTCCTCTGCTGACTGTTCTCCGTGCCTCCGCCCTGGCTCTGCACTTTCAGATTCCTCATCTCCCACTAGCCCTACAACTACCAGTCCCTCCCCTTTCCCTAGGGAGCTCCCATGACTCCTTCTTGCCCCATGTTTTTGACCTCCTCCAAGCAATGCTCTGCTGTCCCTGAGCCTTTAAACCAGCGCAGGGACCCAGCCTCCACTCCCAGCACTGCTTGGGAAGCTCTGGGCAGTGGCAGGATCACCCACCGCACCGGGCAGCCCTCCCTGGCCACTCCCTTCTAATTTCACATTAGACTCCCAAACTGAAACTGCTGCCTCTTACTTTCCATCAGTGTGTGGAGCTTATATCACAAAACCACCCGAGGGCTGAGACTGATGGGGATAAGCAGTACCCCAGATGTGACTTCGCAGACCCCTGTCCCTGTCACACCTCATGAAACCCCAGCTACACCCTCCTCCAAACACTGCAGCCTAGAGGAGACAGACAGACAGACAAGTCAGAAGCAATCGATGAACTCCCCTCAGTATCCCGCTCCGGGCTCCTTCTTGTCACGGGTCTGACTTCTGCATTCTTGTGGATCGTTTTCCGGGAGCCAATGCCACCCAGCCACTCCCGAGCTTAACACAGCAGCAACTTACTCTGGTGCTAGTCCTCCCTGGTTCCGGGGCCCCAGCTGCCCTCCTCCCCGCACCTCGCCCTGCCCGAGTGTGACAGGACCCTAAGCCAGCCCCCGCCGGCCGGTCCCCATCCCTACCTCCGCTTGTACTCGTCCCGCTCGCGCTTCACCTTGGCCAGCACGTTGTAGAGGGCGCGGATCTCGGGGGTGATGGTGTCGATCTGGACGCCCACCCCGTCGGGGTGCACCCACGACAGGCCAGGCCCCTGCACCAGCATGGGCTCCAGTCCCGGGCCGAGCCGGCGGGCGTGGGAGAAGGACCAGATGGTGCCGGGCATGAAGCGGGCCGACGAGGAGAAGGCGGCGGAGGTGGAGGCGGAGGGCGAGGAGTGGCAGGCGGCGGGGCGGGGCGCGAGGGGGCCGGCGGGCGAGCGCGCGGTCGAATCCCAGTAAACAGCAGTGACTGGATGGATACTGCGTATGGATGGTTCATCAATGTTTATACAAAGTTATTGATGCCTCTGACACCCTAGACATAAGACTGTGAGAACTGCGCTTACGCCGCGAGTCGTGAGATCTGTCGGCGAAGGATGAAGGAATAAGAAAAAAAAGAATCTAGGAGGAGACGGAGGCCTACAGCTCGTGTAAGATACGATGAGAGCTATGTAGTTGTTACGGGGTCAGATATTGAGTTGTTACTCAGACCATGATCAGTGATCAATGTGTCGCGACGAACATCTGATGACGAGGCCCTGGCACTATATGAGAAGAAGTAGTGTATACGAATTATATTCTTGTCAGTCATAACTAAGCGATATGATTCACTTATCCTTCGTTGTTTTTTGACCGAGTGGAAACGAGGTAGGAGATGGGTAAACGTAGGATAAAATGTCCAGTTTAAATTGGAAGCAAACGATTTTACCGTGATCGACCTAAACGTGCGATGCAATGG